AAAAAACACTCATGGAAGAGAACTTCAGAAGTGCTTCAGAAAGTGGCAAGAACAATGGGATTCACATGTTTGAAGCAAGGGGAAGGATTTTAAGGCAAGGGAGTGGTGATGTGACTTGTACTGTAATAATTTTTAAAAATGCATACATTTTCCATTTATTTTCATCATAGCTCATATACAACTAGTCCTAGAAGTCCTGCAAAGAGCATCTTAGAGCTTTTGCTGTTGGACAGAGATAGATGTGCACAAGCTTCAGCCACATCTCTAGCCCTCACTGCTGTGGCTTAGGGAGTTCCTCATCCCTTCTCAATTCATTTTCTGTATTTGGAAGAGCAGGGACAACACCTAAGTCACAAAAGTGTGTTGAGGACTAGATGGGGTAACAGAGATCAAGAACATTATTTTTTTTTTTTTTTTTTTGAGCATCTCACCGTGCAGCTAGCCTTCTGCCTCAACCTCCTGAGTGTTGGGATGACAGGCACACGTCACCATGTTGAGCACCATTGCTTTCTTGTGTTCCTCGTATGTGTAAAGACTCTGCTAGGCTCTGGAAGTGCACTCTCTGGTTACTTTATGCCTACCACGACAACTGGGAAGCGTAAGCGCTGTGTTTGCTTGGTGTGCGCTGGATCCCTTTAGTTTTGGCGTTATTGACACGCATGTGTGCACACAGTCACACACATGCTATGAGGTTCCACTTCAACAGCTTTACAATTGTTAGTCATGCCCAGGTCATGGCCAAAAACTTTAAGACATGTGTGTGATTTTTCTTATTCCTTTCATTTTAAGGGTTATATCATGTTGAAGCATATAGTTATAGTCAAAAAGTCATGTCTAGTGTTTGCAAATATAATTATTGTTACCTTAAGGGTCATAACTCATATTAATAAGAACTGTGAGTGAGCATGAGTGTAAATGATCCAAAATGTAGAAACACATTCTCATAAATAATTGAATTTTGCAAGTGACATAATTAATAGCATCCCACAAAAATTCATGTTTTCCAAATGTCATTCATTTTATCTAGCATTTTATGCAGAATAGCATCTTCTGAGCTACTCTACCCAAAAAATCCAACTTTTCATCTTGTTATGGAAAGGTTGAATCCTAGATATAAGATAGGCATGATGAATAAAGTAATATTCATTATGGTAAAACAAACTTTAATATCTATACAGAAAAATGTCTCACTGACAAGTTCTCTTAATGCTGCCTTAGAATTTTCTTCTCTCTTGCATATCTATCTATCTATCTATATATATATATATATATATATATATATATCTTGTGATATACAAGGAACAGGGAAAGATTTATTCATTTGAATATTGTAGTTTAATCAACATAACTAATGGGAAAAGCCAAGGAAGTGCAACATTTTAGTTTTACTCCCTGTGAGAAGCTATATGATTCCAGCTTCCAGGTCCTTTCTGGCCTGGCCTGCTGGCCAAAGCCCAGTGATGTTGAGGTTCCAGTCACAGGTTTACCCTATGGCGTGTCTCTCCAGTAGTCTCTGGACAGGCATCGACAACTTTCCCAGGAAGCGCTTGATGATAGGGCGGCTCTTGGCAAACTTGTCCTTCACCTCAATTTCTAGCACGTCAGTGGGCAAGGACACAAAACTGAATTGCTGCAATGAAAGAATAGGTCACATCAATTAACTTAGAGTTTCAAGGGCTACCAATTCCCAATCCATCTGCCTGGAGGATATCATTGTAAAAAAAACCCAACTGTCATGTCTAGGTCTAGAAATGCAGCAGACACTGTTTATTAAGTACATGGGGGATGGCAGTGAGGTGCTCCTAGGTGCTCAAAAATATGGTTATTTCCTGAAATATAAACAATAAAATCAGCACAAATAAAAGAGACAGAATATCACCCAAGCCTCACTGTACTTGATTTGACTAACGGTGTTATCCTCCTTGAAAATAAGCATAAACTCACCTGCAATTAAGGAAATGTCCCATAAATCAGCTACATCATATTTCACAATTGCAGTGTTAGATTTTCAAGTTTTATAATGTAATGCAGTGCATTCTTGAGAGTGGAAAAGTTAAGAATTTCCCTCTGTGTTAGATGGAATGTAAATTGAGTTGACCTTTGGTAAGAGAATAGTCCAGTGATGGTGAAGAGCTTCCAAAGGGTAACAAGCAGCCCCCTGCAGCACGCATGCTGCAGGTGTTCCACCACTGAAGTAGTATTTATCGGCATTTAAACTGCAATTTCCTGTCAACTCAGAATTCAAATTATAGGGATTTTTCTTCTAGATTTTCATACAAGTGTGCAAAAGGTATATTTTATAAGGATGTGCACTGGAGCATTACTAACAATAGGAAAAGACTGGGGGAAAAAACCAAACTGTCTATTATTAGGAAGCTGACAAAAGAGATGGGTAAATTCAATATGTGCTGTCATGAAAAGACACCTGGTAAAATAAATGAAAAAGCAAAGCACAGAAGAATATGAAGAGCGGTGTTCTGTTTGTGCTTAAAATGGCAGAAAATGCTGGAGGAGTTTACTGCAAACTGAACTGTAGGGAGTAGGCTGGGAGCAGAGGAAAGGAAGAAAGCCTTTCACATTTTATTGCACTTGATTCTAAAGTATTCATTTGTTAAATAGCACATGGCATAGCTTTTTAAATGAAAGCAACAACAACTTAAAAAAATAGATTGCGTCATCTGGAGTTGGTCTGGACATCAACAAAGTGTAGAAAGAGATTCAACCCAGACTATACAGACAGAGTCTGAACCTTGAACCTGACAATACCTTTAATCAAAGGCTAGAAAAGTTGAAAAATGCAGTTATTTTCTTTTATTCTGACTGATTTCTAATAGTAATCTTTTAACTTTAGTTGATTTCTGTTTACAGAGATAAAATACACTGGGCATCCCAATGTTAATGTCATCTCTGGGGCACTCAGGATGAACTGAGGCATATGGCAGTAACAACCATCAAGTCACCATGACTGAAGATGGTCAAATTAGACTACTTATTGTCATGCTTAGTGTGTGCCATTGCAGCTGCCACCCTCCCAGACATTGCCAGGCACAATAACAGAGACTGAAGAGAGCTCATGAACTTCTTTATTCAATTTTTTGTAACTCCATGTTCACTTCCAAATGCATCTCCTCATCAGAACTAGACACATACCAGCCAATCCCAAGAAGCAGAGATGATGGTCCTTCAGTGTGCCTAAGAGGTACAGACCACAGATACTTGGCAAACAGTACTCATGATTGCTGTACTCTGAATGTGGTACTTCTAACTTCTTTTTAAAAAATATTTTTAAATGGGCTTTCTAGGAAGATGGTAGAGTCATGTATAGCAGAGAAAAACAGCCCCTCTGATGTTTGGTATCCAAAAGCTAGAATATATCAATGAAAGAAAAAGAAAAAGAGAAGTGGATCTCCAGGAACCAGCAAGGATCTAAAGTAAAAACTGAAGTTATTATTGATTGAAATAATTTTAGTCAGAGTGATACAGTTGGCCTAGTCAATTGTTCTTCCTGATATGTCTAGATTGAGAATCTCTGAAGGTTATAAATAATACTGTAGGCCAAAGAACAAGAGGGTAGGACAAATAGGCAGAAATTTCTGTTCCGCAGTAAACTGAATAGGCGACATCTTGTGACAAACTCAAAATGCAAAAGCCAGCAACAGCTTGAAGACACCTCTGAAAAATAGTAATATCCTAAGCATTCTTAATGCTAGCATTAAAGTTACCTATCATAAGCAATTTAAAAGCACAAACTCAAGAATTAAACTTAAAAAAGAGAAAAGAAAATGAGAACATAAGAAATCAAGATGCAATCCCAGACTTCCATCTTGCCAAATGAAACCCGGGGGGAAAGAAGTAGAACAATTAGAAAGCCACCCACCTGGATTTCTGAAGTGGTAACAGTAGAAGTAACAAAGCAGATAAATAGGGTGCTAGAAAAAAATTCAAATCAGAAATAATTTCTCACATAACTACATAGATGTTAGCCATAATAAATGACATGGTTAGTGATTCGAGAGTAAATACCAATAAAAATTAGAAGTACTTGGGAAAATGATGGAAACCATAAATGCTCAACATAGGAAAGAAATAGAATCCATTCAACAGATTCAGGTATCCAAGAGATTAAAATTTTCATTGAATGTGTATACAGCAGAACAAGACGCCAATATGAGAGTAGAATACCAGATACATAACACAGGGTTGTGATTAGCAATTATGAAAGAAAATATTTCTCACAAATAGAAAGTGACCATGAAAAATCAACCAACAGCTGTTAAAGAGTGCAAAGAAAAATAATACAAAATTGATTGGAGTCAATGAAAAAGCAGGAAATAGTGCAAACAGCCTAAGTTAAAAAAAGAAAACTATTTATAGAAGTACTGACAGAAAACTTGCCAAGCAGGAAAAAAGTTTGACTTACAGTAGGTAAGACATATAGAGTTCCAATCAGCCTTGATCCTAAAAATATATATTTGTTAAGATTCTAGAAATGCAACATAAAACAATATTAAAAGCTGTTAGAAAAAAATGGAACAAATCACCTGTACAGGAAAGCCCATCAGAATCATTGTAGACTTCTCAACATGAACCCTTAGGTCAGGAAGAGCATGAAGTATTTCAAGTCCTGAAAGAAAATAACATCCAACTCTGATGTACCATGCAAAACTATCTTTCAAACAAATGAAGAAAGTCATGACTAGCAAATCATCTCTACAATATGGCTTGAGGCATATTTTAGAAAGAGATAATGAAGACCACAGTTCTGAGAATGCAAATAGAAAAAAACCTTCCAGGCAAGGTAAACAATTAAATAGAGGGAAACACAGGAACACAACAAAAGGAAAATAACATGACAAGGAAAAGTCAATACATGTCAGTTACAATCATCAATGTATATGGTCTCAGTTCACCAATCAAAAGAAACTGACTGAACAAATTAAAAAGCAAGATCCAACAATATGCTGCATACAAGAAACACATTAATTTAAAAAGAAATTTAAAGACTAAAAGTCAAAGGGTAGAAAACAATATGCCATGTGATAGGAATCTAGAAAAAAGTAGAGGTAGCTATTCTACTGGCAGAGACAGCAGATTTGAAGCTAAGACTAATTAATTTTTTTCCATAATTTTATTGAGAAACAAATAGCAATGAGACAGTTTCAAATCAAATTGGTAGGACAGTTTCAATAATTAACACATTGCATACTCTCTTTCTAGTGGTTATTTGCTGTATAAGATGCAGACATGATATCCTATTTACAAACACTATTAGAACAAATCCCTCTATTCATTAAGAGAATGTAACTATATATCTATCCTAACCATTTTGAATACACAGATGCAAAATGGACATTCATCTGTATCCCCTTTTTTGTTTAGTTCTGTTCTTTGAATATTATAGGTGTGTTAACTCAGCAAAATATTCTAAAAGAGTCCAGTAGTCCATAATAGTATTGGGTCTCCCGCTTCACTGGCAATGTCAGAAACTGTTGATATGAGTCCCCTATGGCTCAACATAATACCACGACTTTACTTCTTATACTTCATTTTTATACTTTTTTGCTGGATGGTTAAGACCAAGATAAAGCAAGACCTATGCAACAAGAGTTGTAGCTTTTGGATCTGATAAGGTCAGTGAAATCTCCTCAAGATTTATCCTGAGATCCTGTACCTGATATTGTAGATCCTTCATCAATGTAAGACTAATTAAGAGAGATGAAGGTCACCATATCTTGTACACAAAACAATTCAAAAGTAAGAGATAACAATCACAAACATATTTGCACCAAATTCTAGCACACCAAACTATATAAAAATATTAATAAACATAAAAAGTTAAATGAACACTACTACAATTGTAATGGGGGACCTCAATGCCCTACTCATACAAATAGATGGATCAACTAGACAAAAAACGTCAACAAAGAAATATCAGAGCCAAAACAAACTTTTGAACAAATGGACTTAGTAGATGTCTATAGAGGCCCCACAACATGATAATACATATTCTTCCTAGCTGTGCACAAGATGGTCTCCAAAATAGACCACACACAAGCTCATAGAACATGCTCAAGTAAATGAAAAGAACTGAAATTATCCCATGCATATTATATGATCAAAGTGCAATGAAATTAAAAATCAATGGCAAAAGAAACCGTAACAACTATACAAACACATAGAAATTAAATAATGCCCTCCTGAACAACCAATGGGTCACACATGAAATTAAAGAAGAAAGTAGACATTTTTTATAATTATGTGACAATGGTAATACAACCAACTGGAACTTATGAGACACAATGAAAGCAATCCTAAGAGGGAAATTTATAGCCGTCAATTCCCCCATCAGGAAAACAGAGCAAATGCAAATAAACAATTTAATGTTTAACTTCAAACTTCTAGAAAAAGAAGAGCACGGTGATCCCAAACTCATAAGAGTGAGAAAATTATGAAGATCACAGGAGAAATTAATTCTATGTAGACTAAAAAATAAAGCAAAGAATCAATGAAGAGTTAGGTTTTTTTTTCAGAACCGGGGATTAAATTCAGGCCTCTGCCTTTGCCAGGAAAGCGCTTGTTCTACTGAGCCATCTCCCTGGCCTCTAAGAGTAAGTTTTTTTAAAGATTAAA